CGCGGAGCAGAGTGTGAATGAGAGAATGTGAAAAAAAATAAACGCTGCGGGGCGGGGTGGGTTTAGCCCCTGCATATTTATTTCTTCATAGTGGCTATAATAATGGTCCAGTCGGATCCCATTTTAGTGATCTGATAGATATGGTTATTCCCTAGGGAATGGCGTTTTTAGTTTTTTTTTCTTTTCAAAATTGTAGCTTTGGGAGGTTTTCGCCCTTAAGCAGGGCGGAAGGGGGCGGGGCTTATTTTTGAAATACACTTGTTTCAGTGTGAGAATACAGAAGTCTGGATGCAAAATTTGGTGGCTCTGGCTTTTATGGTCTCTGAGATCCAGGCGCTCAACAAAACGGACGGACGGACGGAAAGACGGACGGACAGACAGATATGGCTCAATCGACCCGGCTATTGATGCTGATCAAGAATATATATACTTTGTGGGGTCGGAAACGCTTCCTTCTGTGTGTTACATACATTCACTTTGTGCACAAATACAAAATACCCTATTTACTTTTCGAGTACCGGGTATAAAAACAACGCGTGTTTGTTTGTTGTTTGAGCATTTAAATATTTTCATATTATTATTTAAAGCGGCGCAACCGGCAGCCGCTGTAATGCGCTGTCTACGCCAGCGTCTAGGAATTGCCTCTGTAAACATAGCTGAAAATTGCCAAAAGAATGAATAAATTTTGAATATGTGAAGTCACCTGGCGCCAATTGGATGGGTAAATAAACAGAATGCCGGTTTACGTATAAGTATTATAGTATATAAAGCAAAGCACACCGCACCGCATCGAATATGCTAATTTGTCGATGACGAACGCTCGAAGACTTTAACTACCATTTGGCAAGTGGTCGGGTCGGGTGGGATTGGATTAGAATCCCTCCCTGTCCGTGCTGCCGGTTTGGGCCTGTTTGAACAGCGAAACGCCATTAAGGGGGCAAACCAGTTTGTTGTCGCCTATCGTTGCTCTTTTGACTTATGATGTCTAATTGGTTTATGCTCGGAATTGAGCTGTTGCCGAAAATACATATAAAAAGATCAATTTGTCTCTTCATTCGGAAATTCTTTGCAATCATCTTCGAGGTCTTCTGTAGAATTTGGCAAATGCAACAGACGGATGGTACAATCTAGAAGTGAAGATGATTAATTATAATTAATTATGAAGATTAGACTAGCTTACCCACAAGATTATTCATGTTTGATCTTTAACCTTTGATCACTATTTTACCTCTGCTTCGCCTGACCTGCCGCCACTTAACACTTTTTCACTTTTTATTTGACATTCGCTTTGGTAATCCCCGAATATATTCTAATCCTCGATCGCCGATCTCAAACAGAAAACAGCAGATAGATGATATATGTATGTATGTACATCCCTGGACTGGCTGCAGATAATTTATAAATATTATTTGCACTTCATTAAAGCGCGAACAAAGCCGAACGAACAGCCAACCCAACGATCGACAGACCAGGCTAGACGGACAGGTTCAATTTCACATTGTATTGGAGGAGTGTTGGGGGGTAGCGAGCGAGCGGGTGGCTGGCTGCCTGCTCTACGACTTATAGTTCCATAAAAAGTATACGATAAAAGGAATTAAAGCTCTTTCCCGTCCAATTGTCCCGCTGTCCAAAAACTGGCTGGCGGCAGTTTGAGCATTAAAATTTATAGAATCACTTTTGATTGTTGCTGTTGTTGCTGCTGCTGCTGCTGCTGCTGCTGCTGCTGCTGCTGCTGCTGCTGCGGGCACATGTTAACAATATTAATTAATAATATTGTGCGGGGCTGACTGCGAATTCTCGATATGTGTAGCCTATCAACTGGCATCCATCCTATGATGGTGATGATGATGAGGAGAAGCCACAGACAAAAAGAGAGACAACAAAAAAGCAACAGCAACAATAACAGGCAAGACAAGTCAAGAATGAATAAACTATAAAGTGTACCCCTCCACCTCCACTTTGCTGCCCGTCTGGTTGTCTTCGTTTTGGCCCGGCTCTGGGGTCCGTCCCGTCGCCGCAGCCAGCGCGAGCAAAATTTTATAAATGCTTGCGTCTGTCCCGAGCCAATTTACAGTTTAGCATTGAACTTGGTCGGGAGTTCGCCAAAAATAATCGAGAACGCGTCGCTCAGTCGTAGTCGTGGTCGTAGTAGAATTCGTATTCGTAGCCATCCGTTGATCAGAGTTCCTCCTTCAGCATGTTGCTGCTCCAGCTGTGCTTTTTTTCCCTGCTAGTGTGCCTGGCCAGTGGTGCTTCCAGTTTTCGTGAGTTCTCCCCATCCGGGATACACTCTTTTTGCAGACTAATTCCTGGCCTATCCTATCCCCAATTGCAGCTCCCGATCTGCAACGCTGTCACGTTGGCGACACAAAGTGCATCATCAACACCTCCCACCATGTGGTGCGCCAGTATGCCAAGACGGGCTATCCCGCAGCCGGCTTCCCGCAGGTCGAGCCGTTCCTGGTGAAGCGCTTTGATATTTCAGACGGTCGCACGGGCTCCCTCAGCCTCAAGCTCAACTTTAAAGACGTCAATGTGGAGGGCCTGTCCGGCGTGAAGTTCGATAATGCTGTGTAAGTGGAAATAAAAGTGTACAAAAGGACATACAGTGATGCAGGACTAACCCAATTGATTGTGTTGCAGTGGTTTTGGTGCAGATCCCGCCACCAGCAAGTTCGAGATGTACGGCAGCATACCGAAGATTGTGCTGCGCGGCAAGTACACAGCTGACGGACGTATACTGATCCTGCCCATCCGCGGCGACGGTGATGCAGAGATCACCCTGCATTCGCCCAAGTTCTCAGTTAAGTTCAAGCCTGGCACGCAGGTGCGCGACGGACGCACCTATCTGAGCGTGGACAAGCTCAAGGTGCTCGTGGAGCCACAGAGGTAACAGCGATTCAGTTCCAGTTGCAGGCAGCTTTCTATATGATTTATGGGTTTCTTCCAGAATGAACATCAAGCTGACTAACCTCTTTAACGGAGACCAGGCGCTGGGTGCCAATCTGAATCAGTTCCTCAACGAAAACTGGGTCGAGGTCTGGAGCGAGCTGCATCCTTCTATTCATTTGGCCATTGCGGAGATCATGAAGAGCGTTCTCACCAATCTGTTCAAGCGCTTCCCCTACGAGGATCTGTACCTGGAGAACTGATAAAGAACAGAGTGTCTTAGTCATTAACATTAACCCTAAGGCAGCAGCATAAGTGTACGAGTATTTCCCCCCCACCCCCCTCACAGACATTTTTTTATGAAGCGTGCAGCCAATGACAATGGCACCACCATATCATCATCATTATCATATTTGCTAGGTTATTTACTTATTATAAAGAACAAAACGATAGAATAAACAAAATTGTATATGAAAAACCGGTTATTACCTGTGCTTTGCTGCGCCGGGGGGGGCTCTGATCATTTCCGCACAATTGTCGCATTCGATTTTGGCAACTGATTAGCAATCGCCTCACGTGACGGCGGTGCCCGCCATTTGCATGACAAAAGCAGCAAAGATCGCCTGCAGTCCACTCGTGTCCACTCCAAGTGAAAACTCGCTCTCAAGTTCAAGTGTATGCAACGGTAAAAACGAGGGGGGCGTCCAGGGCATCAGCGTCAGGCGACGACACGACACCTGGTTGACCTTCGGACAGTGCATAAAAATCTTCCATTTGCGAGTCAATCAACTGCACCCAAGGCAAAACTAGTTATGCTTCCATTCTCATTCCCATACCCATTATAAGGAGGCTGGCCTGTAAAACGGGGCGTTTTGGTTAACAAAATGTATAGTGTCGGAACCTGTTACTGCGGCTTACCTTAAATCTTTTTTATTCCCATTCTGCAAGAGCGCCGCGTCTCTGCGCGTCATGATGACTCCGTTGTTTTTGTCCCATTTGGCTATTTTTGGACCTCCTCCATGTTTCCAGTGTAAATAGTTATACAATGAATCGTTTTCTTCCATTGAATTGACGCGTTAATTCTGTAATTGGCGAACAATTTCTTTTCAGACAATAACAATTATAACACTTTGCCCCTTCTACACAAGTGCATTTAAATTTATATTTCGATAATTGCTTATCATCGTATTATAAAGCGTTAAGCGTTGAAAACAAAAGCATTTCGTTTATACATATTATATCTTTAGGTAGCTGTTTAGTCGTAAACTAGTAATTTGATTTAACAAGAAAAATTGACAAAGTTTGCACTCCATGCGGCCTCGATTATAACAGTTAGAAGTCTGCGCTGCCAACTTAAATGGATCTGATCTGCACATTGCACAGTAGCACAGTTTCGCGCGTTTCTGTATATAACAACAACATATAACAATCTATAGAATTTGTATACTTAACATTCTTGTTTAAAATGACCGTAATCCCAACATTCGTTGATATTAATTCCACTGCACTTCAAGCTGTTTTATCTAGTGCTATCTCTGTCTCTCAGATTTTGCTAGACGCAAGGCGATGCCAGCAGCATCTGCAGGTCAGTTTGCGCATTGTGTAGGGAAAATATTTAATTGAATCCAGCTAGCACACATATTATAAGCTTCAAACAATCAAATCCACTTTCCTAGCCCAACGCTGTGTGGCCGTTCAATAACACGTTTATCAGTGTAGATCGGCACTGCCGAGCGTCCTAGTACATTGCGAAATTGTATAAACACAGTTGGAATCGTAAATTGTGTGCTGATGGATTAAATGATAAATCAATTAAAGTTACCGGCCCGCCACAAAGGAGTCCCGTTAAACGCAAGTAAGTTGAGCAATTTGTAAAGCAATACACACACGCACACACACACACACAAAACACTGTTTGCCAGTGTTAGCTAACAAGAATGAGCAATTAACAAATAGTGCATCACATTTAATTATGGATTCAGGCCAAGCGTAACCTAATGATGCAATTGATAGCTCCAATCCCAAACAGGTTCCATCCCCCGCGCAAGCACCAGCAGGCTGCATCTCACAGTTTTGCTGCGACTAATGGGAGCGGGTGAGTATGGGAAATGGAGTGTCGTGCAATTGACGTGCCGCGCCACTATAAATAGTAAACGAAATGCCGGTAAAAAGTCAGTAGTTTTCACATTCTAAAGCAGTTTCAACATGTCGCGTATTGGTCTTACCCTCGTCCTGAGCCTGGCAGTGGCTGTGCACGCGGATTTCCGTAAGAGTAGATGCAACCAGGAAGCAGGCTTCTCACTAACACCCCCGATTCCCTACAGCTGATGATCCGAAGCCATGCAAATACGGAGACACCGAATGCTTTGTCGAGTTTTGCAACAGACTAATCACCGAGAAGGCAACCGAGGGCGATGACAGCCTGAACCTGATACAGCTGGATCCACTGATTGTGGACAAGATGGTGCTCAAGCAGGGCGCCAATGGGAGTCCAGTGAACATTGATCTCACCTTCACGAACAACAAACTGTATGGCAACAAGGATTTGCGCTTCAAAAAGATGAGGTACGTTCTGAGATATTTCCAAATGGAGGCCAACAGAATTTACATTTATTTATTGCACAGAGGTTTCGGCAAGGAAATTGCCACAAAGCATGAGATGGTGATGAGCTCCAAGGTTTTCTCCCTGGTGGGTGAATACGCAATCAAGGGGCAGGTCCTCGTACTGCCCATAAGTGGCACCGGCTACAGCAATATGACATTGAGTAAGAGAGAGGAGTGTCTCCAAGATCCCTACTAAATTCCACTTCTTTTCAGTGGGATCGGATGTCAAAATCAGTTTCACGGGTAAGCCGGTGGAAAAGAATGGAGAAATGTATATGGAGGCCAGCGATTTGAAGTACACCGTGAAGCCAAAGGACCAGCATTTTTACTTTACCAATCTTTTCAACGGTGACAAGACTCTGGGCGACACAATGAACACCTTCCTCAACGAGAACAGTGCGGCCATCTTCAGTGAGACGAAGGAGTCAATCGAGAAAGCCTTCAGCGCGGTATACGAGCCCCTAATCACGCGCGTCTTCTCCAAGTATCCCTATGCCAAGTACTTTGCCGCGGAGGAGAGTACATAATAAGAAGATACTATAATTGGAGTCAACTAAGCACGCATATGCGGGCAATCATCATTAGATTTCTTGATTACGATATTGCAATAAGTGGAAAAGTAACTAAATAACTTAATTTGACCAAAGGTTGATCCCCTCCCAGTCGAACGTGTTCCTACTCCAGCCTGAAAGTATGTGGCATTGGCATGGAGATCGATCTTCCTGACCTACAGGGAAATATTTTATTGTATGGGGTGACCCCACTTACAATGTGTTGCCTGTGTTAACAAGTTATCAGCCACTCAATTCATTAAACGCAATTAAAGTATGTCAAAGGCGCTTCTTAATGAATAATGTTGAGGTGCACTTTGGAAAATTTGCATTTCAGCTGCGGTCGGGGCAGGGCAGGGCAGTGTCATTGACATGCGGAGTGGAACTGGAACTGGAACTAGAACTGGAACCCCCCCACCCCTACATACATACACACCTGCATTGCACGATCAAGTTCAAATTGGTAGTTCATTAAAGGGAGTCGTAAAATAAATCTACCGGTAATAACAACTCACTCAGACTGCCGAGACTGCACTCCCTCAGTCTAAAGTGAGATGCTCGGCCAGTTAAAACGCAAAAGCGGTTTACAGCGGCATTAACAAATCACAAATGATATGAAACGATACCATTTAAATTCAGACTCGGACCCAAAAGTTCAGTTGTAGGAACTGGCCAGGAGAACAACCCGAAAAAAACCCGACTATAAAGCTGTTCACAGCTGTGGGCCAGCGATACAGTCTTCAATTGCATTCAACGGTGTTCATAATGAAGGGAAATTACAGCTTCGTCCTGCTGCTTGTTGTCAGTTGCCTGGCAATGTCCGTTAACGGACACGCCTCTGATTTGCGTGAGTCCTGCCTCCACTCCGCCTCCACTCTGCCTTATTTGTTAATTTGCTAATTAAATTGTTTGCACAGCCGCTGGTATCCAGAGATGCGCCATTATGGACGATCAGTGTGTGATGAATGGCGTGAATTATGTGCTTAAAAACTACGCGCAGAGCGGCATCAAGGAGCTGGGACTGATACCATTGGATCCGCTGCACATCACCAAATTCAATATTGGCCGAAATCCACACAGTCCGGTCAACATAGATCTGAGCTTCAGGGAGGTAGACCTGTTGGGCCTGTCACGTGTCATCTCAAAGCGTGTGGGGTAAGTTGATGCCTTGATGTTTTGATACTTGATCTAATGATCCATCTTTATCCCTCGTTTTGTAGCGGATTCACCACTGATCTCAGTAAGCCAATCGAGTTTGTCATAGAGGCGCCCGAACTGTCCTTCAAGGGACCCTACTCGGTGGACGGCAAGGTGCTCATTCTGCCCATTGTGGGCAAAGGCAGGGCCGAGATTGTGCTGAGTATGACAACAGCCAACAAACAAACTTCATCTACATATTTCTTACCTTCACAGAGCACTGCAAAATTCATTCCTTCATCACTTTGCGGCCCATAAGGAAGGGCGACAACCAGACCTACGCCGAGGTGACGGACATCAAGATGCAGGTCGATCCCTCGCATGTCAGCTACAAGCTGGAGGGTCTCTTCCATGGCCAGAAGGATCTCAGCGACAACATGCACATCCTGATCAACGAGAACTGGCAGGATATCTTCAATGAGCTGAAGCCCAGCATTGGCGAGGCCATGGGCCTCATAGTCAAGTCTGTGCTGAACAAAGTCTTTGACAAAACTCCCCTCGAGGAGCTATTCATAGTGTAGAGCCGCTGTTAAATTACTTATTCGTTATAATTATTGTTTTTCAGTTGTGATTGGTTAAATGTGCACAAATTTAATTGAGTTTCAAATTGAAAATATACAAAAGTTCCTGGTACGAAAAACGTTTAAACTCCATCCAAATAAATTCAACTTATTAAATACAAAGTGATTTCTGCTTACGAATCTACAAACAAATCAAAAATTGTGTGCTTATAATTGTTATTTATAATGAAGAGTGCCAAACCAATTTGCATTCGGGGCTGTAAAGATTTTTCCTTTTTACTTTTGATTATCATTTCGTCGTTATACTTTTGATTATCTTTCCTTCCTTTCCTTTCTTTTCTCTTCTTTTGTTTAGCTGCGGAAGCACAGCGGCTTGAAGCGACGCGTGGTGGTGGCACGCTTTGGAGGCGACGATGGCTCCAACAAGTCGCTAATGTCCAGCAAATCAAAGCCGCCCACGGGTGGTGCTACAGCTTCAGCCGCTGGGCCAGCAGCTGCCTCCTGTTGCGCACATATGTCCCGAGCTTCGGCTGGAAAGTAGGCGTCCGGATTTTTGAGCAGTGTAGACAGGAAGTCGTCGTTCTCTGCGGCACATTCGATGACATTTTGCAGCTTAAAGCGATGCGCGATGAGCTTTTCCTCCGCGCTGAGCTCCTTGGGCTGTGCCGCCTTCAGCTCGCTGGTTGCCTGCTCCTTGGCCCTGTCCATGAGTGCATTGTGGTCCTTGGACATGGCGAGCGAGTAGCGATGCTCATGGTCCATTTCCCAGTTAAAAACATACACACAGAGATAGGCGGCGCGCAGCCACTCGCGCAGATTTGTGAGCATGTCCTCCAGCTTCAGGGCATTGGCTGAAAAGAAAGCAAGATGATCAGTGCCTTGGATTGATGTTTGTATGGACGGATTGCATGGCACTTACACCTGGCGCCTGAGCCCAAAAAGATGCCATCACGATGGCGGATCGGGGATCTGGTGAACTGCCTAAAGGACTTTAAGTAAGTCGACGATCCCTTGAGCAGTTTGTCGCACTCCGTGTACTTGCGGTAGTCAAAGTGGCGATTTGCCTCCAGCACGCGGCGCTGGTGGGCCAGAAAGCGATCCGCCTTGGTGCAAATCACTTGCACCTGGTGGTGCAGATCAAGGCTGCAAGGCATGGTGATCTTCTTGGGCAGATCAAACACATAGTCCGATGGCAGAGAGTTTTCCGGCCCCACGCCCAGATCTTGGTTCATGTGGTCATGCAGAGACTTGAAGAGATTCATCAAACGCACAACGACATTGCGCTCCACGCTGTGGTAGAGAAAGAACATGAAAACTGCTGGAACTTAATCAATGGCCGCCACTCACCAATCGCCACGCAGACCAATCGAACGCATCATCGGCGCCAGCTGGTTCCAGTTGAATAGATTCTGCCTTTGCAACTGCTGCTGCATGCCAGCACCCGACTTGGACTTCTTTTGATGGCGCCCACTCGGGATGGGCTCCTCGTGGTCGCGGGTGCGCTTGACTAGGGCGTGGCACCCGTAGCCGTGAAATTCAAAGTGCGGAGCATTATCCAAACTCAAATCTTTGAAGTTGGCCTGCAACTCGGCCAGCACGAGGTGAGTTGTGCTGCCCGAGGGCAGCGGCTGCGGCTCCAGCTCTGACTCCGGCGAGTTCTCATTGGATTCCAGCAGGGTGCACAGCTTGGTGCCCATCTCCATGAGATTATCCTCGAGCATCTTGTTCTCGCAGTCCATATTCTTGTCAAATTGTGAGTTGGACATTTTTGGCGCTTTAAAATTTCAGTCGACTTGGGTTGGGAGTGGAGTTGTTCTTGTGTGCGAAAATGGCGCGGTGCCAAGCTGTCTGGGTTCGAAGAATTTTTTTTTGGGCAGACAGACGCGCGCCAAGCTGTCTGTGGCATTCAAGGTCGACAATGTAGCCCTCGAAAATATACCAGAAATATATGCCACGATCGGACAGTCATCGATAGTACTATCGAGTGGCAACTAGCTCTCGATCGATTATGGGCGCTAGAATTCAAGTTTAAATATTTTACCGTTTCGCACTTGGCAACACGGAGCACAGTCAAACAACAAATGCAACACACGACAGCCATCAAATATTTAAACAAAGAGCTTTCACATCCTAATCAACAACAAATACCACAGGCAGGACAGATCAGAGTCTCTTTTTCACGGTTACCAACCACAAGATCGTTAATTCTTTAATATACAGAGCACACAATGAACCATAGAAAGGCAGAAAATTGTATATTACAAGCTTTCTTTCTATTTTACAGCCACAGTCAATCCTTCCTGTTCGTAGTTGAAATGTTTTAAAACTACTTAATATAAAAATTGTCGCTGCTCCTGCTGCTTTCTGCTGTTGTTATTTGTTGTTGCTGTGTGCTGTGCATCGCCTTGCAGGGGCTTCGCTCCTCACAAATCCCTTAGGAACGGAACAGCGGCGGCGTCTAGAAAGGCGATGGGCGGGTACACATTTTCGAATGAAAAAGAGTTGGATGTGAGTTTTTCGTGTGGATTCTTTACGTTTTAGTTTTTATTAAAAAATTAATAATTTGTGGTTCATCCAAGAGTCCCATTTTACTGTGGCTTCCTGCGGAACGAGCAGCCTGAAAGGAACAACAAAAGGAGCAGTTAGTAATGCAGCAAGACCCTCTCTTGGCCCAGAGGGCAGACTCACCTTCTGTCAGCTTGGCACGTCCTCCAGTTGGCTGGCACAGAATGGTGGCGCAGCCAGCGCAGACCACGACGCCCTGTGCATGACTGAACACAGTTGTGATTCTGTAGCAACCAGGGCATTTCACGTCCATGAAGTAGGAGTTGGGGTGCTGGACCAGACGCTTCAGCTTGTGCTTGCGTTTCTCCTCAGCGGGCAGAGGGTGCAGTAAATCTTTTGCTAGCTGAAAGTAGTCGGCGGGGAGAGGAAAACATATGATCAGTACTCGCATCAACAAAATGCATTCGATTCGTTTAAAGAACAACAAAATTTCGCAAATGCCACCATTTTTCTAGGTTAAGTTGAATGCATTGACACGAATTGTGTTTTCGACAGACACAATTTCATGAGAAATCGTAATATCCGTATTATTTCACAATTGTTTGCCAATTTCTTGAGCGCATGGCACGCGTGGGGACAACACCAATACACGGAACGGCACAAGATGTTGATCCGAGACAGTTTTTGGGGTGGAATCGGTGACTTTCACTCCAAACACACATTTCTTGAGCACTAGACACTTTGGCGGTGTGCTCTGCATGGGTTTTGCTTGGCCATTTGAGAGTTTTCTTTGTTTAAAACCATTTTTTAGATTTATTTAGCACCCACCGGCATGTTTTTTCTTTCACAGCTAACACGGAAAAGGAAGTAGTCTAGTTCGCAGCCAACTTAGCTCGGTACAAAAATCACTAAAATATACCGAAAACCACTACTATTTAGTGTTGTAAGCCACCATTGTGGTATATATGGTATTTTTACGGAAAGGCGTTAGCATCAAATTGTGGCAAAGCAAAGTAAACACATTTGGCGCGGGCTATTGTTGCATTTATTCCACTAAAATATACAAATAATAAGAAATGCGAACTGTTACAGGACCCGATCACACAATAGACTTGAATGAGTCCATTCAGTGCTATGAAATCTGCGCAAATGACTTTGCCTACAATCTCATCGCCGTGGCGCTGGACAAACGCATTTGTTTGCTTGTGGTTGGATTGCCGGCAAGTTTTTTACTGCATTTTACTTAAAAATTGTAATAAAGCGAATTTGGTTTCCATAGGAGGAGAACGGCGAGTTCTTGTGGCATCATCTGCAGGACTTGGAGCTAGGTGAAAGCGACTCGCGCTGCGTGAAAGCCATTGCCTTCTCTCCGGACACTTCTCTGAACAGCACACCAAACAATGTGACGTTTTGCGCTGCCCTTGGCACGGACCTGATGATATTTCGCACGGACGTCAATCAGTACAACACGGTGGACACCTTGCGGGGCCACACCGACTACGTGAATGACATATCCTGGGTGTGCGAAGGCGAGTTTTTGGCCTCTGTCAGCGATGACTTTACGTGCCGGTTCTGGAGCACCGCTGCAGTGTCGGACAACGTCATCACCTTCTGCCTATCCTCGGCTGGAATGTCGATTAAAAGCCATCCAGATGACAATGAAAAGGTCCTGGTGGCCGAGAAGAGAGGTGGATTTATATCTTGCTCTCCTTGGTGGACAGTCTTTACCTAAATCTTACTTTCAGGCATCATCCATCTCTATAATGTAAGGCAGAAGCAAACTGTTTTGTCTGTGGAATCCCCAAAGTTTCCCCTGATGTCCGCTGATTGGGCCCAGAGCAATCGCTTGTTTGTCTCTGCTCTGGCGGGTGGCGATGTCATCACGTGGGACCTCAATCGTCCATTTGTGCCCGCCGACGTGAAACAGATCCACGAGGACGGTGGTCGGGTGGTACGCTTTGCGCCCGGTAGCTCAGACATGGTCCTGGCCAGCATCGGCCGCCCGGGTTTGACGCTCAAAGTTTTTTCTGCAAAATCTGCTGTGCTGCTGTTGGAAACGGGTTTGAAGACGTACGCAGGATTGGCCTGGCACCAGAGACTGCCTTACATAAGTGCGGCATCGGACAGGAAATTGCTCTTCTGGAAAGTACAAATGAAGTAACCAATAAAATAAAAAAAAACACTGCATTTAAAATTTAAATAAATACTAGTACATTTGATGTAAGTGTTGGTTACGGGAGAAAAATACCAGCAAAATCGGACGATTTTTTGTGGCATTGTGAGTGCTCGAATTCGGCCACACTAATTTGTCGGTCCCGGTCTTTGTTGGCAGTGCTGCGTCAAGCAAATTTCGTTTCTTTAAAATAAGTATATAGCAAAAAATACGAGTTGATTGGATTAAAAAACCAGGAAAGCGTATTTATCTAGAAATTGCCGAGCTAGAATTGAACTCACTTCTGGTTTTGGCAACTTCCTGTTTGAGCATAAGTAGTTGAACAGAGCCGATGTCCAGTTAAAAGCCAAGCGCGAAGCACATTTTTGCAAGTCGTGAAAAAGATTGTCAACTGAAGTTAAATAACTGTACATAAGATATGTGGACGTCACGAAAGGAGGTGGACGAGCAGGTTCACAAAATACTTAGCAAATTTCCGCCCGGACATTTGGTAATTATTGCATTGCGAAATTCTTCAATGTTGCGAAATAGTCGGCGCCGCCATTGGCGCCGTGTATGTAAAGATGTTTGCGTGTGTTTGAGTGTGTTTGCGGCGTCACTTCGCGACGGCTGCTCGGGGATGCATCTTTCAATTGAAAATTGCGCGCTTTTCTACCGTCGCATGGCAATGGGCATGGGATATTAATATTAATATGCCTGCTGCTAGCCTTGTGCTGCTTGCTGTAATGTTTGCAGGAATACCCTTTGCAAAGTGAGGTTAGGCGACATTTATTCTAGTCCTTTTTTCTGCTCTTCTTTTTCCGTATTTGTAGCGCGATGTCAAGGGTATGTCGGTTGCACGAATGTACTATAAGATACAGGAATACCCGAAAGCCATCGAATACCTCAACAGCTATCTGAAGGTGAAGGACGAGGCCAATGCCCACAAGCTGATTGCCGCCTGCTACACGTTGCGCAAACAGCCGGACCCCAAGCTGGCCCTGGAGCACTACCAGCGCTGCATCCAGCTGAATCCGAAGCAGCCCGAAGTGATTAACGATGCTTGCCAACTGCTTCTGGACGAGAACAGCAGCAGCAAGGGCCTCTTCAGCGTGGAGTGCGCCAAGTTCTGGCTGGACAAAGCCGGCGGCATACAATTGAATGAGAGCGAACTGATGTTCCAGTTGCGAATGAAGATAAAACTCCACGAGAGCACCAATGGCGGCGATGGAGGAGTTGGATCGGGCTATGGGGCGCTGAGCGACATCACAGCAGCCAATTCGGAGATGAACGCCCTCGAGGAGATCATGCACAGGGAGCTGCAGGCACGGCCACAGGACGTAAAATTGCGGGTGCGTCTCATGCGCTGCTATCTCGAGAAGAAGAAACTGGAGGAGGCCTTCACCTATGCCTTCCGGGTGGAGCTGGACGAGAAGAGTGGCACCAGCCAGTGTGCCGATTGGTATGACATTATTTGGACCACGCTCACCAAACTGGAGCAGGGCAAGGACCTAAAGAAGTGGGGTCCGCGCTTCTGGCAGCTGGCACTCCTCACCCTAGACCGCCTCGCACAGCTCAGCCTGGAGTCGGGCAAGACCATGCTCGACTGCAGCAGCCATTTGTTCCGCCTCGACCAGTACCTGCACAGGTTCAGCATGGAGAAATCCTCGTCGGCCGATCAATTGCAGCCAGAGCTGCAGCAATCCTGCATCGACCATTACTCGGGACAGCTGCTGCTCCATGCGGTGGCGCTCGTCTTCAAGCGGGAGCTTGTGAGCAACCACAACAAGTGGGTGAAGAGCCTGAAGAGCGCGCTGCCCCTGCTGCTGCTGGGCTACCAGACGAAGCCGCTGCCGGAGAACTGCACCCAGCCCTGGATGAAGCACTGTGACGAGGATCAGAAGAAACTTCTGCAGCTTTGGCGCCTCCAGGGCGCCTTTCGTTGCGCCCAGTTGGGCAGGACTCTGTTCGGCTGCCTCGAGCCCGCAAATGCCCATGACATGGACCAGAAGGAGAACATTCAGACGGGCGGACAGAACAATCAGCCAATGATTGGCCTCTTTGAGAACTCTGATAAGCTGCTGGCCTGTGCCCGCCTGCAGTGGCAGGACAAGAACTGGCGTCGCCAGCTCTTCCCGGTGCTCTTCTCCCATCCCGAACACAAGCTGAAGGAGAACTCATCGCACCTCGTGCGCAACCCCAAGCTGGAAGAGCCGCTGTACGAATGGCCTGAGGAGGCGGACATCGAGTCGTATGAGCGGCAGGCCCTGCTCCTGCAGCCCCAGTCGCTGGCGCAACATGTGTATCTGGCCTTGGGGGCCATCGAGGCTCTCGGCAGCGCTCCACGCGTCGCCTTCTACGAGGGACTGCGCCGCGATGTGAAGCAAGATTTGAGCTTCTGCGGGCAGGAATCGCTCTCGCAGCTAGACATTGATGTGTTTCTCTACGCCACGGTCATCCACACGCACAGCCGCTTGGCCAGCCAGCGGGAGTCTTACGACAGCTGCAATCTGGGCAATTTCAGTGCATCGGCGCGACCCCATATGCTGCCCTACGCCAATGTGCTCAGCCAGTTGGCCACGCCCGAGCAGAGCGGCTGGTGGGATCTGGTTCTGCGCTCACACAAGAATCAAGTGCCAGACTGCAGTCGCGGCGAGCAGCGTGCCCAGATGCAGATGGGCCTGGAGGCGGTGCGCGGCGTGAATGGCGCCAAGGCCGATACCATCATACTCTTCAAGCTGGGCGCCATTCTGTGTTCGCGCCAGGATCGGGATGTGCTCGAGCATCGCATCGACACCTTGTACAAGCAGGGCTTTAATATGATGCGCCGCGAACAGCAGCAAGGAGGAGGCGGCCATGAGCACTATCCGCGATTCTTCAAGATCGTTTCGGACTCCTCAAGGGAGGCTTTCCAGGAGCGGCTCCGTCTCGCCGAAGAGGCTGTCTCGTACTTCAGCTCGAAGATGTTCAAGGCGCATCAGTATCAGCAGTTTATCGACGAGGTGCGCGGCCTCAACCTGCCCATGGCCACGTACCTGCAGGCGGAGGCGTATCGCATGCTGGAGTACTCCAGCCAGATCAACAGGGATGCCAAAGCGCGCTACTGGGAGCAACGCAGGGACTACCTGCAGCAGACACAGCAGCTGCTACGAAACCAGGTGAAGCACCCGCTGTACGGGATGATCCGCAGCGAGGTTGGACGCTGCGAGGAGGATCGCTGCGAGACGAACTACGATGTCTACGGCTCGCCGGAAAATCACAACAATTCGTCGAGCTACGAGGATGCCGAGGATGCGGACTTCTATGCAGGTGCTTCGCTCACGCTCAACCGTTCACGGCGTCACGGGGAGCCGCCAGTCGCTTCGAGGGACACACCAGTTCGTGGTACACCAGCTACGCCGGTCACAGCGGCCACACCGCTGGCCTCCAATGCGAAATTCAATCAACTGGAGGAGACAGTCAATCAGATGAGCAAATCCCTGTGCCAGCTTAAGGACGATGTCAGCACCGGCATCACGGACATGCGGCAGGAGATCAAGAACCTAACCGAAAAGTTTACGGGCATTGAAGATTTGATTAAAAAATTGAAGATTACACACCGCGAGACGCCCACCAGGGATGTGGATCCAGCGACGGCCCTCGGTCTGGATGATCTCCTCATCATTGAGGAGCTCGATGCACAGCAGCAGCAGCATCAGCAGAGCCAGGCAGCAGCCGCAGCAGCAGTAGCGCAGCAGCAGCAACATCAGCAGTTGCTGTCTACGAATTATGGTGCACCCAATGCCAATCCGGGTGGATTTTTCAATGGCGTTCCGGGCATACAATCGCCACAGGATCGCTTCCTGCAGGGCGCCTACGGCAGTCCATTGTTCAACCAGAATCAGCTCTACAATTATTATGCAGCCCAAGCGCAGCAGTATATGCGCACTCCACCGGCTGCTGGCACGTTGCCGCCTCTGAATATATTTGGTAAGTTTGTCTAAACCCTATCGAAATATAAATCCTGACTATGTTTCATCTGAAATGTCGTAATTTGCAGGAGCGCAGAATCCAAACTTTGCTGGCATACCGGGAATATTCCCACCAGCACCCGCTGTGGCACCGCCCAGGTCCTACCTGGAACCGGCTGGTAGCTTTGGACAAACGCCTGCCAGTCTGATACCGCCACAGTCCGCAGTCCCAGCAGCAGCAGCTCCACCACAGCAGCCACCCGGTCCAGCCCCGGCCATTGCTGCGCTTCTACCGGTGGAGCCGCCCAAGCCTCCAACAGCTGCAGTGGGAGGTCCTGGATTCTTCAACTCATCTGCTCCGGTATTTATGCCATCGCCCATTCAGGCTCCGCAGGCAAAGCCGCCATTGGTTGCTGCAGCTCCAGTCGTTGCTCCACCGCCAACAGCCGCAGTGGCCCCAACACCGGCCATTCCGTCACTCTTCAATCGCGCCCTAAACAACCAGCCCGTGGAGAAGGAGCCACCGGCTAATGTGGTCATAACCAGCTCCGATCCGTTACCCAAACCAGCCACAGTCGCTGGCGTCCAGCCGACGCTAAGTGTAACAATTCCTGCACAGCATATCAAGCCGAGTTTGGTGCAAAACACAGAGCAACAGCCGCAGCTACAGCAACAGCCAGCAGCACTGCCAGTGACTGTGCCAACAGCTGCCGTGACAGCAACCTCCAGCGGGGCTTTCAACTTTAGCTTTGGCACCAGCAATGCGGAGAGTCCGTTCTCATTCAAGACGCAGGTGGCCAAGGCCGCTGCCGAGAAGCAAAAGGAGCAGGAGGCCGAACAGGCCCAGGCCCTGCTCCTCAATGAGAGTGCCAAGAGTGCCGCAAGTGAGCCGAATAAGAGTGCGGTCGCTGCAGATGCCTCCCTGGAGTTGGACTACGATCCACGTCCGGACTTCCAGCCCATTATAGCGTTGCCCGATGAGATTGAAGTGCGCACGGGCGAGGAGGATGAGGAGGTCAAGTTCTGTTTCCGTGCAAAGCTCTTCCGGCTGGTGTCGCACGAGTGGAAGGAGCGTGGCATTGGCAACATTAAGATACTGAAGAACCAGGCCACCGGCGTCTCGCGCATCCTCATGCGACGCGAGCAGACGCACAAGGTCTGTGCCAATCACAAAATCAATTCAGAGATGTCACTGGCCACACCCCAAGGGGACACAGAGCAAAAGTCGTTCATTTGGGCGGCTAACGACTTTGCCGACGAGGAGGTGGTGCCCGAGACTTTCCTCGTTCGTTTTAAGTCTCCCGACACGGCCAAACAGTTTCACATTGCCTACACTGTAGCGCGTCAGGAGGCTTCCAAGGCAGCCACAACCACCACGGACACCGCAGCTGCTGCAGTTCCCGAGGTGCCAAAGGCACCTGCTGCAGCCCCTGCCCCAGCAACCGCTGTACCCAAGAGCTTTGTGACCAGCACACCTGCCACATCGTTCGGCAAACCCTTTGAGCCCTCAAATATGAAGCTATCGGAATCGCTGGCAGCTCTGGCTGCTCCAGCCTTCTCGACCAACCAAACCTCATCGACGACAGTGGCCAAGTCTCTCTTTGGTGGACAGCAGCCTGCTGCTGCTGCTGCTACTACTACTCCTACTTCCACTGCTGTGTCGTCCACTCCCACGGCATCCGCAGCACCGCCGACAGTGCCGCCGTTTGCCAGCTTCAGCTTTGGCCAGCAGGGAGCCGGGCCAACGGCCTCGCCATTTGGCAATTTGTCCTTTGGCAGCATGTCGTTTGGCAGTGTCTCGGCCGTCAACAGTAATACGAGCGGCAACAACAACACCTTGTTTACCACAGCAGTGCTCCAGGACAGTACGCTGCAGGGACAGCAGCAACAGCAAAGGTCAAAGTCAACAGGCAAAGAGGAGACCGAATCCGATGCCGAGGAGTACGAGTCGACGGCACAGTTTAACCCAGTGATCCCGCTGCCCGAAGTGGTGAAGGTGGTTACAGGCGAAGAGGACGAGGATGTGCTGTTCGAGAATCGGGCCAAGTTGTTGCGGTATTTCAAGGAGACGAGTGAGTGGAAGGAGCGTGGCCTCGGATCCATGAAGCTGCTGCGCAACCGCAAAGATCCTAGCCAGGTGCGTCTCGTGATGCGTCGCGAGCAGGTGCACAAGACGTGCTGCAATCAGCGGCTGCTGCCAGAGACGACCTTCAAGTATCTCGTCAACTCGACCACGGCCCTAACCTGGGCGGCCCAGGACTTTGCCGATCAGGAGCTGGAACAGACAACGCTGTGCGTGCGCTTCAAGAAACCAGAGACATGCAAGGAGTTCTATGATGCAGTGCTAAAGGCACAAAAAGAAATGAAAGAGGTTGAATCGTCCAGCACCAAGACGGATGGAAAGCAGTTGGCTGCCAAAGAAGAAAAGTCTGGAGCAGCAGCCACCGCCAGCAAAGGCTTTGGCGATGCCTTTAAGCCCAAGGCTGGCAGCTGGAACTGTGAGGCCTGCTACACGAGCAATGGCCAGGATCAGTTGTATTGTCTGTCCTGCGAGGGACCCAAGGATGCGACAGTGCCGCCCAAGCAGCCAGCAGGCTTGGATCTATCGAATGCTCTCAATCTATCTACCAGCAGCGCGAGTAAGTTTTCATTTGGCTTTGCCCCCGCCACAACAGAGGCAGCCCCAGCCACAGCAGCGACTACTCTCCCCTCGGGCTTCATTTTCGGAGCCAAGCCACAGTCAACGGAGAAGCCAGCTGCTTCAGTGGCAGCCACATCCTCAGCTCCTGCCGCATTGCCTGACAAAGCGTCTGGATTTGGTGATGCCTTCAAGCCCAAGGCGGGCAGCTGGTCCTGCCGCAGTTGCTATCTGAGCAACACGGGGGATGCCCTCTACTGCAGTGCCTGCGAGGCGCCCAAGGACGACACAGTGCCCAAAAAGGAGAGCAACGCTTTGGGCTCAACGTCGGGCCTCATCTTGCCGGCCACGACAAAGTTTAATTTCGGCTTTGGAGAGCCTGCTGCACCGCCCACTGTCGCAGGGGAAGTCAAAGACGGCGAAGCCACCAAGAGCGTCTTTGGATCGGCCAGCTTCAGTTTTGTGCCCAAAACGTCGGCAGCGGCGCCTGTGTCTCTGGAATCGGGCACCTTTAGCTTCACGATGCCAAAGCCCGCACAGCAGCAGCCAAAGAGCCCCGGCGGGTCTGGCAATGATAATGGGGAAAACAATGATTCCGATCCGGAGGAGGAGAATAATACGCATTTTGCACCTGTAATCCCACTACCGGAAAAGGTCGATGTCAAGACTGGCGAGGAGGACGAGGAGGTGCTATATGTGCAGCGGGCAAAGCTTTATCGCCTCACGGACGAGTGGCGCGAGCGAGGCGTAGGCAATGTGAAGATCCTGCGCCACAAACAAACCGGAAAACTGCGAGTGCTGATGCGACGCGAGCCGATCTTCAAGGTGTGCCTCAATCACGCCCTCACCGCAAGCGTCGCCTACAAGCCCAAGGACGAGCGCTCCTGGCTGTTTGTCGTGCACGATTACAGCGGGGGCGAAAGCGTCAACGAGCGCTTCACGCTGCGATTCAAGAATAAGGACATTGCCGATAACTTCCTGAAGGTGGTCAAGAGCGCCCTCGATGGCACCGCCCCAGCCATTGTTGAGGAACCACACACATCCGCTGCGCCGCCTGCAGCTGACATTACTGAAGCCAGTCGCGACAGCGCCTCGTTGATTTCCCAAGAGAAAAAATCCCTGGCCGATGAACACGACCTCTCGTTCGGATCTGGCTGCACGGGCTGTGTGGGCTGCGATCCAGAGAAGTTTGACTGGACAAATCACCAGACCTCAACCGCCCCCATCGCGGATGAAGTGTACCCTCCACTGCCCATGCATTTGCCAGCCCTGAAGCTACCGCCTGCCGCTGATCTGCTCGCTCAATCACAGCAACAGCAGCCGGCAGCTGCTCAGTTGAGCGGCGGCTCATCCATCTTTAGAGCCAGTTCTCTGGCGAGCGCCAACAGCGGCGGCTTCAGTGGCTTTGGCCAGGCAGTGTCTGCCAATTCCACGGAGGCTTTGGCTTCTACTCCTGCCAGCAAGCCAGAGGAGAATAAACCATCGACTGCATTCGTTTTTGGCAGCGCAGCATCAGGTGAGTCTTGCCAACGGGCATACCCTTAAGAATTCCATTAATTTGTTTGATAAAATCTTCCCTCAGATAAACCCACCTTTGGCAAGAGCCTGTTTGGTGGTGGCAAACCCCAGCAGCAGCAGCAACAGTCGATCTTCAGCAGCAGCCAGGGCAATGTACTGGGATCCATATTTGGCAGTGGCATTGCCGAGACCAAAGATCAGAGTGCCAAGTCCATATTCGGAGGAGTTGGCGGCGGCGCCAATCCAGAGTTGACGAAATCAATTTTCGGCGGCGTAGCCAAAGTGGATCCCGTGACGGCAGCGGCGCCTAAGACCATTTTCGGTGGCACAAACACTTCTGTATTTGGCGGTGGATCGTCGGGCTTTGTGTTTGCCTCTGAGGTACCCGCTTTTGGCCAAAAGACCCAAGGCATCACGTTTGGAGATCTGGCCAAGCCGCCAACACCACCCAAAGATAAAGAGACGGGTGAGAGCAACGAACAGACGAAGGACAACAACATCCCAAAGTCGGTATTCTCTTTGGCTTTTGGTGACACGAAGGAGACTTCCTCGCCTGCTGCTGGAGGTGCTGGTGGTGGAGCTGTGGGTAGCTCCAGTTTGGCGGATTTGGCCAGCAAGGCTGGTAGCGATGATTTTGCCAGCTTGTCCGCGAAGAATCAGGGTACACCCATGGGCTTCAATAAATCAGGCAGCGGCGGCGGTTTCTACAATCTCACGCACCAGAATGACTTTAAAAACTTTCAATCGCCCAAGGGAAACAACACAACGGGCGGAGGTGGTGATGCAGATGGCGAGGGTGATGGTGATGCCACAAACGATGACAACTACGATCCCTACTATGCGCCCATTGTCGACTTGCCCGATGAGATCGTTGTGAAGACGGGAGAGGAGGATGAGACTAAGTTGTTTGGCGAGCGATCGCGGCTTTACCGCTTCGATACGAAAACTAAAGAATGGAAGGAGCGTGGTAGGTTTCCATACATCCAATTATTTATCCACTTTGATTACAAAAAATCTCCTTTGTGGCAGGCACTGGTGAGCTGAAGATCTTGGAGCATCCACAATTGCAGTCCTTCCGCATGCTCATGCGACAGGAGCTGGTGCCCAAGGTGCTGCTGAACATGAAGATAGCCGGCGACCTGAAGCTGGTGCCCATGAATGGCCAAAAGAAGAGCTTCTCGTGGTATGGCCTCAACTATGCCGCCGACGCCGAGGGCAAGACATCCATGGAGGGAGTTGTTGAACAGTTGGCCTGCCGCTTTGGCAAGCAAGACGTCGCGGATCAGTTTTTGGATCGTGTCAACCAGTGCATAAAGCGCGCTAGTGAGGCCTCAGCGCAGGCTCAGGAAAACTCGGAGACTGAGGATTAAACAAACACTCGAGTTAAACAAATAGAGTTTACATATAGTTACTTAGTTCTTTCGTAAATAAAATCATAATTTTCATTCATTCTTTAATGTAACTCGAAATTTTGTACGTGCATTTTAACGTGCTCCCACTTCTGGATGAACATGTGTGGCCATCGGATACTTGTATTTTGCATCCTACGACAGCAACCGCAGCACGGACAGTTGGCGTTCTGCCAATGGCTTGCCAATGGAACGCTGACTAGCTGGAACTCCAGCAATGCAAGCCGAAAGTAGCAGGAGGTCTTTGGGCGCGACTCCAGCGATGACACCAGTGAATGCTTTCTACAGGTTGTGGGCCAGAATTTTATTAGATCCTTGACGACCAGAAGTTGCAGCAATCTTTTTGAACGTCTTAACAGCCGCTCGACGACACTTTGGGATGTCCCATCATATTGTTTGTGCCGGTAACTACTCCTCGCCGCGCCCCACAGTGATGTGTCCTGCACGTTCAAGTCCAAGTAGTCTCGTGGCTGCTGTAACGCTGCGCCAGAAAGTTTAGGTGAGTTAATCCAGACGCCTTGAGCAGACAGTGATGTGAGTGGGCCGGCTAGCCATCATTGCACAGAGTGAAAACTCCGAGTGGGTGTGCCCGAAAAGAGAGTAGTTTCAATTTGAGCGAGGGGCTTGAGCACAAAAACTGCATGGCTAGATGCTCCGTGTCGGACGAGGGAGCTGTTTGTTTTGTTCTAAATTTTTGTATACTAAATAAAAAAGGAAATTTTAACAAATGTGCAAAAGTTTTGTGTTCTCAGAAACTGGAATTAATATAACAAAGTTTATTTTGGATAAAATGTGCATTTATCCATTGCTCAAGGTAAACAATTTCAGTTTGGATCGACTATTGCGGCCTCAGGGATTGTCGTTTCTTCAGTCTTCTTTTTGTGGGTTTTCGAACGAAAATGAGTTCTCAAGTTGGACATGCGATTGAAGGCGACATCGCAGATCTCGCAGCTGTTGGGAATTTAATAAATTTCAAGATTAAATCCATATGCAGGATAGTGGCAAATGTTTTCTCTTTACCGAAATGGACGATCGCCAGAGTGCACCACTTCATGTTTCCTCAAGTTGCTCATGCTGTTGCACCTGTGAGGGCAAAAATTGCAGGCATAAGGTTTATCAGTCCTCTCCGGCTTGAGCCCTTCGTGGATTCTAAGATACAAAATGTTAATTTAGTTCTGTCTTTTTGCAAAATATTGAGTAGTTACCTCTGATGACGATAGCGTTTGTTGCTGCACACAAATCTCTGGTCGCAGTACTTGCAGGCGTATGGCGCCTCTCTTCTGTGCTTCACCCGGATGTGCATCTTCAACAGGAACTGACTGTACTCCTTGTGGCTGCACTCCGGGCACTGAAACTTTCGTATGCCCGTGTGGCGCACCAAATGTAGATTCAGATTTCCCTTGTCGTTGAAGTGCTTGCCGCACTGATCGCAAATATAATTTTGATTAACTCGATTCTGGCGCTTTCTACGTTTTCGCTCAGCTTCCTTCGTGGGAGAAGCCTCTGTGTTTTCGGCCGCTATAAGACTTTCCGTCAACTCCACAGACGGGACTGGCGCTGCCACTGGTGAATGCAACGTGTCCGCCGGGGCGCTGTCGCAAGAATTTTGTCTAGAGGAATGTTTGCTACATGTTTCCTTGTCTTGAGATCTGTTCGGGGCTTCCACTATATCTGGCTGGGCATCTGAGAGTTGATCTTCCTCCTCACATTTTATTTCAAGTGGCAAGCCGTCCTCATTCCCTAGTGGGTCGTCTAGATGCCTTTTTAGGGCAACATCATCAGAAAGGAACACCTCGCAGTTGCCCTGCGTCAGCACAGCGTGTGTCCTGATGCAACGCTCTCGGAACAAGATGGCGGTGTTCAGATCCATGAGGCAGCAAGCGCAAATGCTCCTGGGCATATCTAGCTGGTCGGTCATCTGCCAGGAGTCTACTTTAGCACAGAAAACAGTCGGGAGTCCCAACTTACCCAGATGCCAGTCAGAAATGAAACCTTCCTCACAATATCGTTGTCCCCTTCAAAAAGATTTGTTGCATTTAGGCCGTATACTGTCTCGCCGCAGGTTCGACACCGCAGCGACATAATGAGGCACCCAATTTATACCCCCAATAATATTGTTTTATTAAATTTCTGGCTTTCTTTTGTATTTATGCCCATTTATGTGAATGGCCTGTTGCATTGGCGGCGTGGGTGTGTGACTGCCAATTGCGGGCGCCATAATCAAAGAGAGTTAACAAAGATTATTACACAATAAATGTAATATACAATAATAACATGGCCGGTAAAAGCCTGGTGTGCACACTGCAAGCACGTGGGGAACATAACCTCTACGCCAGGTAAGTATTGGAGCAAAACTGTAACAAGTTACATATTTCGACGTGGCGATTTCCCCCTTATAAAGGCGGGTGGCCAAATAATTCCCCTCTACACAAGGGTAGAGCGGTAACTCAAAACCTCAAAAAAAAAAAAATTAAAATAAATGTAATAAAAATGGCTTATAAATGTGATAAATGATATGTTAAATGTGTAAAATGTACAATTCGCATTATTTGAAATGCTGTGTCCTGTACACGAAGTCTCCAATTTGGCGCCAAAAATTAAGAGAATAATTTATTTTTAGTCATCAGTTACAGATTCGCTTAAATCGAAATCAATGTCTCCGTCTTCGTCAATCGCTTCGTACTCGCAGGCATCTTCATATTTTCTCACCCTGGTCAGATGATACTTGGTCTGATAGTGCCCACGCAGGAAAATTGCCTCCTTGAACTCTTTCTCGCAAATGTCGCAGCTGAACAAGAAGTTTTGGATTGCGGGTCGTTAGTTTTGACAATTATCTATAGTATTATGGAAACCTACTAGAACTTTCCCGTTCCTCCGCCCTTGTGTAGTTCTCCGTGCTTAGCCAGACCCACTTTGCTGATGAATGTCTTGCCACATTCGACACAGCCGAATGGCAAGTCGTTTGAATGGAATCGCCTGTAGAAACACACAAATTCAGCATTTGGAGTACATGCTAGACGCTATTTGATTGCTTACCGCTCATGTCGGCATCGACTGGGACTGTTCGTGAATGCCATGCCGCAGTATTTGCAGAGAAAGGGCTTCTCCCCATTGTGTTTGACGCGGACATGCATTTTGAGCTGGGCAGCCGTGTAGAAGTAAGAGTCGCAATCCTTGCACACAAACTTTTTCTCAGAGTGGCGCAGCTTGTGGTCTCTCATGTTGCTTATGTCGTTGAAGGACCAACCGCACTGGTCACACACGTACTTTTTCTCTAAGCAAGGAGCTCGTTTTCTCTTCTTTTTTGGCGGACCGGACCCCATCCGCTGGGCTTCTTTTGCACTGGTAGTCCGCTTGGGGCCTGGGCCTGGTGTTTTGGTAGCCGATAAAGTTATCAAGGTTCCTTCTGGCAGGCGGGTGCGCTTAACCATTTCGCGGGGATAATCGCTTCTAGGACTCGGTTCTGTTTTCTTTATTTTTTTGGCTTCTTCCAATGCCGGAAATACATGGGTGTGTTCCTCTTCCGGCTCGGAGAACTCTTCACTCACGACGTCGTCATCATCGAAGGTATCCGCAGGCTGCACATTATCATCCAGTGGGTCGTGCGCTTCTTCCACAGCATCTTGGACGCTGGTTACCTTGAGATGCAGACGCTTGTGTGTTTTCAGGCAACGATCCCGGAACACTGTTGCCTGGTTGAGGTCCAGCAAACAACAGGAACATATATGCGTTGGTAGATTTTCTTCGAATTTAAACTGCAAGTTTCAATTCAAATAATTTGTTATCAAATATTATGTTCCCGTGTCTTACCGGGATGCCCGTCAGCTGCTTGATTCTCAGCAGTATTAGCGAGTTTTCCTTGTCGAATAGGTTCTTCGGATTGGAGATGAATATCTGCTCGCCACACGCTCTGCATTCCAACTTCATTTTTGGCAGTTTTCAATTATTAGTCTTTTTATTTATTTTTGTTGTCAAATAACAAAAAGCAGCTGTCTAGGATTCTTCTTCTTCGTCTGTCTGATTTGCCATTCACCTGGAAGCTAACGAGAAGTTGACAGCTCTGAATGCCAACAAATTGTTGAATTTATTTGCAAACAATGTTTTGAGTGGCGATAGCGGCTGTGCCGCACTTGTGGCACCCACATAGATGAATCGAGTGCCACCCCACTATTTGAGGGGGAGAACTACCCCATGGTCATTATAATTGAAAACATCACTATGTCCTATGTAAGTTGTCGAAACTAAATTTTCGTTTTTTGAGTGATGGCAACATCCTGTTTATCCTGTATCCTTGCCATTTAGTTGGAGAAGGAACATGATATGCCAGAGCTCATATGCCAATGTTGCAAGCGGGACCTCGAGAGGTTCCTGGAATTTCGTACAAAGTTCATGGCCAACAATGAGTTTCTGCAGTAAAAAAGGAACGCACTCCAACTACAGGAATTTGACAGCGCCAATGACCTGGTCGCTGCCGTTAATATCGAGGATAAAGAGATAGCTACCAAGCCACAGGTTGCCGAGGATAATGAGACGTACGATGAGCCGCTGCTCGCAGTTAAACAAGAAGAGAATACACTGGAAATCGTAACTGTTGGTGGGGGTAAAGATAAGGAGCCGTCGCTCACCTCCATTAATGTCGAGGACAACACGATGGACAATGATGCCGAAGAGCCGCTGCTCACCGCCATTAATGCCGAGGACAACACAATGGACAACGATGCTGTGGCATCGCTGCTCGCCGCCGTTAATATAGATAAGGAAATTGACGACAATGTCGAATATAAAGCGATGGACGATTATGCTGTGGAGTATTCGGTCAGCCCCGATTAAGTCATAGAAAACCATGTGGGTGTCTCGTTCCACCCGATAAAGGCGAAGAAGGAAAGGATGAGGACGGTAATAAGAACCTCGTGGTGGAAACACAATCCTCGAATCCCACTATCAAAAGAAAACCCAAAAGGAATCCCAGACAACGGAAGAAGAGTAACAAAACTTGGATCTGTCACATTTGCGAGGGCGAGTTCAAGTGCTCGACGTACTTTAAATTGCACATTATGCGTCATTCGGGCAAGAAGCAAATCGAGTGCGACATTTGCCATGCTACTACACGAAGAACGAAATGCGACGTCACAGGATCCTGCATACGTGTGCACGACCCTATGCCTGCCGCTTTTGCGGCAAAACTTTTCGCGGCTACAGCAGCAAGGCTGTGCACGAGAGGTACATGGAACTCCAACTGTTTGTATGTGCATACTAATCTTGTTTATTTCTTCAGGAATCATACCAACGAGCGTCCTTTTTCGTGCAAAATACTGTGACGAGACGTTCAGATCCAGCGCCACACGTCGCATGCACGAAAGTATTGCCATATTTGCTGAGGCAGCAAATTGCTTTAATTTAATGTACGTAGTTTAAGCGATTTATGTTGCAGCTGCGAGCCGTGCGATCAGTCGTTTCTGATTGTTGCTCCTCCCACTTGACGCTTCACAAGAGAAGCAAGCTCGACAAACGCCAAGTGGCTGGCACCATGGACGACTAACGGGCTGAGCGACACAAACGTGGGCTAAGCTTTTCGTTGCGCATCTGGGTGAATGGCGCTTTGCTTTTTCGTCAAGTCCATGAAACGGCTTGATTTGATTTGGGGAATTTTATTATTTGCCAATGTTCTCGTTATAATTTAAGTATTTTACATTCAATATGAAGATGTTTTGCAGAACATGTTCGCGGCAGATACACAATGCTGCAGCGAGAAACGTTTTCGAGGTCTCCAGAAACGGTCTGCTGGGAAAAATCGAAACATTAACTGGCCTGCTCGTGAGTATAAAATCAAATTCAAATTGTAATTGAAATTTCCTCTTTGTTTTAATTAAATAGCTAAGAAATGATGAGAAATTGCCACAACTCCTGTGTCAAAAATGCGAGCAGGATCTAGAGGCTGCCTTTGACTTCCGTAGAGTTTGCATTGAAGTGCAGCAACGGCTGGAGCTTGAGATGGACTCTCAAAGTAATATGGTAAGCGATTCTGAGCTAGGACCAGAGGAATATGTTGTAGAGATAGCGTCCATTCGCCATAAATATGAGATACAACAGGAGAGTGAAAGCGATCTAAGTAACCTAGGAGACGAGGACATTGAAGAGACAGCTTTTATTGTCCAAGAAGATGCCAATAATAACATGGATGCCGATAAACATTCGTGCAACTTGTGTGGCCTTCAATTTGCTAGCAGAATCGAGCTCAGGACGCACCTGTACCAGCTACATGATGTTGTGCCCGCTGGCAGGAAGTAAATTAAGTTGCCCAAACTCTACACACAACCCTTTCTAATGTCGATTCCTTCCAGCTTTGATTGCAGCCATTGCGGGAAAAGTTTTCCCATTGCCTCTCGACTAACCAAACACCTCCGTTGCATTGGTGCCGAATTAACGCATGAATGCCCAAAGTGCGGTGCAAAGTTTCACAGCCAAGTGCTGCTGGACAACCACACGGGTCGTCACCACAAACCACCCAAGGAGAGACATGTCTGTCATTTATGCGGAAAATCGCTGGCCACGCGTTTCAGTCTGAAGTGTCACCTGGTGCGCCATGCCGGCACCAGACCACACAAGTGCCAGCAATGTAGTGCAGCGTATTCAACGGCTGCGGAGCTCCGTTCCCACGAAAGAAAGCACACGGCAGTGCGTCCCTATTCCTGTCGGTATAACTGCGGGAAAGATTTTCAATACTGCAGCGCCCGCAGCATACACGAGAGGTGAGCAATAGCACCATTCTGAGATCCTCATGTATAAATAACTTCCCTACACAGAACTCACATGGATGAGAGCCAGCGTCCATTCCGTTGCGAGTACTGCATCAAGTCCTTCGTGACCAGGGGAGACTGCAGGTCCCATCAAATACAACACACAATGAGCCGCGAACACAGGTACCGTCTACCACATCATGAGTGCTTCAATAAATCTATAATCTTGCTTATCTTTCAGCTGTAACATCTGCAGGTTAGGATTCAAGCTTAGGAAACATTTTAAGGCCCATCTAAAATCGATGACCCACAAGACCCTAGAAGCGCGTGACAAAGCTTTAAAACGATATGCATTAGGCCCACTTTCTGTTGTTGAATCCAAATGAAAGTTAAAATGAAAAACGGGCCGGGTCTCCCGAGGAGCCTAGGACATGCCGCCTTCTGTTTGATGGAAAGAAGTTTTACGTTCACAACGCGGTGGTAAATCAGGCCAATCTTTTTGTCTTTTAATGTTATATAAACAAAAAAAACGTTCAATACTCGTGTAGAGATCCCAAAATTGTATCTTTTCTCTTGTTAAATCAACAGCGAGGGACTTTTACTTTTGCATACATTCTATTTTGTTTTATTTAATCATATTATATCATGCGAGAGGTATTCATATTTTCGTCTGTCGCCTGTGGAGCGACAGGGTGTTCGTGTTCGTTTTGACTGTCGTACAATTAAACAAACATTATCACAATCTTACGCAGGTATACAAGACATTTAGCTAGTTACATTTATCGGGGACAACGTGCACCAGGAGACGCAGCAAAGGCTACTGGCCTCCCGATGGAGAGCCATCGTCAATCGGTCAGAGTGAATCTTATGATGATGCAATAAATAGAGTTACAAATCGCTTAGGAATAGGATAAGGTGCTGGCCAAGGGTTTTAGTTGTCCACAGATGTTTGAAGGGTTTTTGGAGTGCCCGCACAATCAGAAAGGTTCTTTAGTTAGTCAGTGGCTTGGAACTAAAATGAGAAATCAAAATAACGTAGGGGTGTGAGAAACACAAAAACGGTGGGGATGATGAAAGAAGTGTGTGGGGTTTGTGTGTCAGCGACTTACAAAATACATCAACTAAAACTACATTTACGATTAACTAAGTGGGTGGAGGCTAGCATTACTTTTCCTTGGGTTCCTTCTCGAACAGGTACTCCTTGGCCATTGTGTACGCAAGTCCCGCTGTCAGACATCCCACGACGGTGCCTTGGGCCGCCACACGGAGCTGCATCAGGAATACGCTGGTGCTCATGGTGCCACGATGCTTGTACTTGTAGGCTCCAATCAGTCCCGCCGCCACGAATCCCGCAATGCCTGTAAATGAGTGGTTAAAAATGCGTTTATCCGATTAGAAATGTTCCATTACGGATCTGATTTTGTTGCTACCCACTGCCCACTACCTAGAATCTGGTGACTAGACGTTAGCGTCTGCTGATAAATGCCAGACGGCCACACACACACACAATGATGCGATTTCTAGCACGCGCCAAGGTTCAGCTGGCGCATCAACGTCACTGATGTGCTAATAGTGCCATTTCCCGTTGTATTTCGAGGAGTTTCTATTGCATTTCCGAATTTCATACCAGCCATAACTGTTGCATCATGCGCTTTCCAGACGAGCAGCGAAACATTAACAGTTATGTCACTACCCAACGGGGGAGGAGATCTGCCCAGATCTGCTGCTCTGCGCCTGCTAACAACGCACAAATTACATGGTCAAGGTCAAGACGCATCTATATAATTCGGTTGCACGCACTACATTTATATCAGCCTGCGTGCGCGAAAAGTTTCCACCTGACGTCACGGATTTTCGGGTTTACTCACCCACTAACATAAACGGCGATTCCTTGGCCTTCCTGGACAATTTGTTCGACTGCTCAGCATCATCCTCGACGAAAAAGGATTTGGAGCTCATGTTGAACGCAGGTATTAATTTATTAAGCAAAAAATTCAAAGGTACAGAGATTCCACGTTCGGAACGGTCAAGCGAAAAATCGGAAACATCTGAAACGCAATCGAACCTCAAAAGTTATACGCTTTGCGGTATATTTTGATATCGAAATTAAGTTGATAGTGGATATCGGTATATAATGGTATATTCTGCGGTATATTTATAAGGAATGACATAAGAAGCATTAGGGTCGCAGGGGAACTAGCTATCAACGTTGCTTTTCCATTAACCGCAGTTTTATTTAAGAATTTTTCGAAAAATTGACAAGTGTCCTCCACGAACACACACACACTCTTTCCCAGTAGAGACGAAGCGACGTCGCAGCGATGACGGGTATAATTTCCATAATAACGAGGCGGCTGCCAAACAGTGTCCAAACCATTGGCCTGCGCGCCGTGCGGAGTCATGAAGTAAGTGTAGGAGGGTCAACGATGCGGGGGAGTTGCAGGCGATTCCTGGCAAGGGGCGCGGCTATGTGGAGACCGAGCTGCAGGCAGCGCGTCTGCTCGTCACTGCCGTTGCTGCTGAGACCGGGCTAGACCAGGGGCAGTTCTCCCAATGCGATTATGTAATTGTGTGTGTGTGTGTGCGTGCGCCGCTGAAAAAATGGCAAAAATGTTTGCCCAGCCCGGTTGACACGGGTCTGGGCCCACAGCTGACACGACACACGTGACGTACTCTGAGTGACGTCGACGCGCCGCATTGCTCCTGGTTGTGCAATCATTGATTTTAGACTTTTCCTCCACAGCTGAAGCGCTGCCTACGCCAGTATTCCCGACTAGTTGCCGTGTCTGTGGCCAAGCAGCAGCAACTCCTCAACCAAGATGCCAATCTGCGCTGCCAGGAAGTCCCCAGGTGAGTGCCAATAAGCAAGAATCTGCTTCGGCTTGCCATGTCAACTGAAACTAATTTCGTCACTGTCTAGGGCCATTACATGGCAGGGCTTCCACACCACCTCGCAGCTGTGGCAAGAGACGTCGGTGAAGGTGCCACCATTCGCCGACTCCATCGCCGAGGGAGACATCAAGTAAGTCGCGAGCAGCTTCAGGTCATTGACGTGGATCGAGCAACAGGTTACTTAGTCAGAAACGGGAGACCTGTTGGTCTGCCGCTGATGATATGAGATTAAAGCAAGTCTTAGCCCAACAAATGCCAACCACAAGTTCTCACTCGCCACAGGTTCACCTGCAAGGTGGGCGACTCGTTCGCCGCGGACGAGGCGGTCATGGAGATTGAAACCGACAAGACGACGGTGCCAGTGCCAGCACCGTTTGCCGGTCAAGTCACCGACATTCTGGTCAAGGACGGGGACACTGTCAAGCCCGGACAGGAACTGTTTAAGATGAAGCCGGGTGCAGCGCCTGCCAAGACGGCGGGTGCCGCCGCACCAGCACCAGCTCCTGCTGCCCCTAAGCCAGCTCCAGCTGCTGCTGCTCCCAAGCCAGCTGCGGCGGCACCAGCTGCCAAGGCGCCACCACCACCCCCACCAGCTGCTCGTCCGCCACCACCACCACCAGCGGCTCGACCCCCACCAGCTGCTCCTCGTGCTGCCGCGCCGCCTCCAGCTGCGCTCGCCCAGGTGAAACTGCCGCCTGCAGATGGAACCCGCCAGATCCTGGGCACCCGTTCCGAGCAGCGCGTCAAGATGAATCGCATGCGGCAGAAGATTGCGGCTCGCTTGAAGGATGCCCAGAACACCACAGCTATGCTGACCACCTTTAACGAGATCGACATGAGGTAAAAAGTTCAAGCTAAGTACAGCTCATTTCCTGCCACTCGGAATTAATGCCTTCCTTTGCAGCTACGCCATGAATTTCCGGAAACAGAATCTGGATGCATTCGTGAAAAAGTATGGCATTAAGCTGGGCTTTATGTCCATCTTCTCGAAGGCCAGTGCCTATGCGCTCCAGGATCAGCCAGTGGTGAACGCTGTCATCGATGGCACGGTAAACAGGCCCAAGCCCCGCCCCCCCATAGATGCTTTCTTATCAGTCCGTGACGTAGCCTTATCTCGGCCACTTGGTTGTATTCTTTATTTATGCAACTTCCCGTGGCTACGATAAGGCCCTACGTCAGCGCAATATTTTACCTTTCAATTGAAAAATTTCACTCTCTCTTTTAGGACATGGTGTACCGTGATTATGTGGATATCTCGGTGGCTGTGGCTACTCCCCGTGGCTTGATGGTTCCCGTCATACGCAACGTGGAGAGCATGAACTATGCCGACATTGAGATTACCTTGGCCGGTTTGGCTGACAAAGCTAAGCGCGATGCCATCACCGTGGAGGACATGGACGGCGGCACCTTCACCATCAGCAACGGAGGAGTGTTTGGCTCCCTCATGGGCACGCCCATCATTAATCCACCTCAAAGTGCTATTCTCGGCATGCACGGCATCTTCGAGCGTCCCATTGCCGTCAAAGGAGAGGTAAGTTTTGCAGTTGCAGTACAAATTGCTGATGGATTGCTAATGCATTTCTAATGCAGGTCAAAATTCGTCCCATGATGTACGTGGCGCTGACCTACGATCACCGGATTATCGATGGTCGCGAGGCCGTGCTGTTCCTGCGCAAGATAAAGGCTGCCGTTGAGAACCCAGCGATCATTGTCGCCGGCTTGTAGAGTGCAATGATGTCAAGTGCGCGTCCACGCTCATTCGTTGATATTAGTCGTCTCCTCAATATGAAGCTCCCCTTTCGGTTATTTATTATCTTATTTTCGCCAAGGTCACAAAACGATTTAAAATGCATTCGATACGCACCAATTAGTCGAAATAAAACATTGAAAAGTGAATTTGTTTGCTAAGTACACGCCGCCGCTGTTTGCTTATCCTTCCTCTCCGTACTCTCTTGCACTCGCACTTTGTCCCCAAAAGAACATTTGATGTTTAACCAAAATGCAATGCAATGCAATAATGTAATTTAATAAAAGCGATCACGAATATCGACCAACCTCAACAATCACAAGCAAATCGTTTGACTCGTAGAAGGTAGTGGAACTTTCTTTTAACTTATGGAAGGGTAGAATGAGAGCTCCGCTCCCTCTGTTGTATTATATGGACTTTGTCCTATGATTTATTCATATTACACATATCATCGTATTCATGATTTATGAGTGAAAAAATAATAATTCCATTTGGCAGTGACATTTACAGGGACACAAGTAAAAAGTCAACGATTTCTAATGACGAAAGCTAGAGATTTTGTATTTTTGATTTATTTATTTATTTTGTCCAATATGTTTTGCAGTCATAGAAAAGGTTGGTTTTGAATGAGATGAATCATCAAAGAAAGTGTTCTATAATTGTAGATATATGTATGCCATAAATGTTTGAAAAGTGAAAACAAAAATTGCCAGAGACATTGCCAGTGACACAAGTAAGATTGTGTCAACGATGTCTAAGGAAGAAATCGAGAGAATGAGTTTTTATAAATTTATTTATTTAGTCAAATATGTTTTCGGCTTTGTAGTCATAGAAAATGTAGTTATGCCCGGTACTCAAAGAGTAAATAGGGTATATTGTATTTGTGTGGAATAACGGTTGTATGTAACTCACGGAAGGAAGCGTTTCCGACCCCATAAAGTATATATATTCTTGATCAGCATCAATAGCCGAGTCGATGGAGCAATGTCAGTCTGTCCGTCCGTCCGTCTTGTTTGTCGGCTAGTTCTCAGAGACTATAAGAGCTAGAGCCACCAAATTTTGGCTCCAGGCTGCTGTATGCTCCCCCTTCCTCCCCCGCAAAAGGTCGAAAACCTCCCAAACCTACAATTTTGACGATAAAAGAAAACGTAGCAAAATTCCGTAGGGAATGGCCATATCTATCAGATCACCAAATTGGGATCCGATTATATCATTATCATAGCCAGAATGAAGAAATTAATTTGCAGTGGTTAAACCCACCCTGTCCCGCAGATTTTGTTGTTCTTTTTACATTCTCTCATTCACACTCTGCTTCTGCTTCACTCGGCCTCTGCCTCTGCCCTCCCCCTGACGCTGCCTCTGCCGACTTTTAACCAACCTCGCCCGCAGCTTATATTTGTTTTTTTTTGGGTGAGGGCGCTGCCTCTGCCTCTGCCGCGAGTCTGCAGTGTGTGGGTCTAGGGAAGGGCGGCGAGCTAAAGGAGCGTGTTGGTGTGAGAAGTGTTGTAGATGTAGATGACAGTTGAAGAAAAAATTTAAAATTTGACAAAACACCGCTAAGGTGCAGATGTAGTACTGAGTGCCGGGTATAAAAGTTGTGACGCGTAAGAAGCGTCTCACACGTCCCCTCTTGTTTTTGAATGGGCAGAATCATGAATGAAAGAGTTCTATAATTTTAGGTAAAGGTATGGTATGACCCTCACTGCCGGATATCCACGTCAATGCTGAATGGTAGATTTGCAGAATTCCAGGTGTGATCCCATCCATTGCTTTGCAATATTTAGATTGTTTAGCTGACCATGTAATGCTTCTTCCAGAATGGTATACTGAAAAGTCTATTTGCTTCTAGGAACTGTGTAGAAAACGAAATAAAATTCTTGAAGGTTTGGTTTTGTTTTGTTATTTGAGCAAATTGGCTTGTACAATTTTATTGATTTTTGTTTTAGTTTTGTGTTTTTTGTACGTAGTATTTTTAACTAATTTTACGAATATGTCTAATGGTAGCGATGTGTTTTGTGTGTGATTTTTGTTTGGTTTCAAAATAATATTTTTATACAAAATGAAGGAATTTCTTTCAAAACTTGATTAAACTTTTTGGGCCACATGAATTATTCGAATATTTAAATTTACTTAAAGAGAAACAATTTATGTATGTGTGAATGCATGTATGTGGTTTTGTCATAGATCTTTCAAAGATGGGGATTAACACAGTTTTGATTTTGGTTTGCTTTTTGCTTTTGCTTTTTGTCTTCCAGAATGCTTTTGCTTATCACAATTTATGGTGTCGAAAGAAGAACTGAAATTATAACTGAAATCTGAAGCTGTACGAAGATAATGATAGTAGCGAGAATATCGAAATAAATTATACAATATGTAAAACTATACGTGTGTGTGTGTATATGTGTC